CTGTATAAGAACTGACCATTGTTTTTTTCTACTTATTTGAAATGGGGTCTTTAAAGCACTTTCTATTATGTTAATACCCCCTTTCTCCAAAATGCTGCAGTAAAAAGTTTTCATGTGAAGTACACATATAGTATGGTATGTCCTGTATAAGAACTGACCATTGTTTTTTTCTACTTATTTGAAATGCAGTCTTTATAGCACTTTATATTATGTTAATACCCCCTTTCTCCAAAACGCTGCAGTAAATAGGTTTGATGTGAAGTACAGATATAGTATGGGATGTCCTGTATAAGAACTGACCATTGTCTTTTTCTACTTATTTGAAATGGGGTCTTTATAGCACTTTATATTATGTTAATACCCCCTTTCTCCAAAATGCTGCAGTAAAAAGGTTTCATGTGAAGTACACATATAGTATGGTATGTTCTGTATAAGAACTGACCATTGTCTTTTTCTACTTATTTGAAATGGGGTCTTTATAGCACTTTATATTATGTTAATACCCCCTTTCTCCAAAATGCTGCAGTAAAAAGTTTTCATGTGAAGTACACATATAGTATGGTATGTCCTGTATAAGAACTGACCATTGTTTTTTTCTACTTATTTGAAATGCAGTCTTTATAGCACTTTATATTATGTTAATACCCCCTTTCTCCAAAACGCTGCAGTAAATAGGTTTGATGTGAAGTACAGATATAGTATGGGATGTCCTGTATAAGAACTGACCATTGTCTTTTTCTACTTATTTGAAATGGGGTCTTTATAGCACTTTATATTATGTTAATACCCCCTTTCTCCAAAATGCTGCAGTAAAAAGGTTTCATGTGAAGTACACATATAGTATGGTATGTTCTGTATAAGAACTGACCATTGTTTTTTTCTACTTATTTGAAATAGGGTCTTTATAGCACTTTATATTGGCTTAATACCCCGTTTCTCCAAAATGCTGCAGTAAAAAGGTTTCATGTGAAGTACATATATAGTATGGTATGTCATGTATAAGAACTGACCATTGTCTTTTTCTACTTATTTGAAATGGGGTCTTTAAAGCACTTTATATTATGTTAATACCCCCTTTCTCCAAAATGCTGCAGTAAAAAAGTTTCATGTGAAGTACAGATATAGTATGGGACGTCCTGTATAAGAACTGACCATTGTTTTTTTCTACTTATTTGAAATGGGGTCTTTAAAGCACTTTATATTATGTTAATACCCCCTTTCTCCAAAATGCTGCAGTAAAAAGTTTTCATGTGAAGTACACATATAGTATGGTATGTCCTGTATAAGAACTGACCATTGTTTTTTTTCTACTTATTTGAAATGCAGTCTTTATAGCACTTTATATTATGTTAATACCCCCTTTCTCCAAAACGCTGCAGTAAATAGGTTTCATGTGAAGTACAGATATAGTATGGGATGTCCTGTATAAGAACTGACCATTGTCTTTTTCTACTTATTTGAAATGGGGTCTTTATAGCACTTTATATTATGTTAATACCCCCTTTCTCCAAAATGCTGCAGTAAAAAGGTTTCATGTGAAGTACACATACAGTATGGTATGTCCTGTATAAGAACTGACTATTGTTTTTTTCTACTTATTTGAAATGCGGTCTTTATAGCACTTTATATCAGGTTATTACCCCGTTTCTCCAAAACAGTGCAGTAAAAAGTTTTTATGTGAAGTACACATATAGTATGGGATGTCCTGAATAAGAACTGACCATTGTTTCTTTCTACTTATTGGAAATGGGGTCTTTATAGTACTTTATATTATGTTAATACCCCATTTCTCCAAAACAGTGCAGTAAGAAAGTTTCATGTCAAGTACATAGTATGGGATGTCCTATGTAAGAACTGACCATTGTCTTTTTCTACTTATTAAAAATGGGGTCTTTTAACACTTTAAATCATATTAATATACAATTTCTCCAAAACAGTGCAGTAAGAAGGTTTATTGTGAAGTACACATATAGTACGGGATGTCCTGTATAAGAACTGACCATTGTTTATTTCTACTTATTTAAAATGGGGTCCTTATATTACTTTATACTATGTTAATTCCCCCGTGTCTTTAAAATGCTGCAGTAAAAAGCTTTCATGTGAAGTACACACAGAGATAAGGGTGTCGTGTATAAGATCTGACCATTGTTTTTCTCTACTTATTTGAAAGGGGGACTTTATAGTACTTTTTTTCTATGTTAACAACCCGTTTCTTTAAAATGCTGCAGTAAAAAGGTTTCATGTGAAGTACATATATAGTATGGGATGTCCTGTATAAGAACCGACCATTGTTTTTTTCTACTTATTTGAAGTGGGGTTTTTATATCACTTTGTTGTGTTAATACCTCATTTCTCCAAAACAGTGCAGTAAGAAGGTTTCATGTAATGTACACACATAGTATGGGATGTCCTGTACTAGAACTGACCATTGTTTTTGTCTACTTATTTGAAATGAGGTCTTTATAGCACTTTATATTATTTTAATACCCCATTTCTCCAAAATGCTGCAGTAAAAAAGTTTTATGTGAAGTACAGATATAGTATGGATGTCCTGTATAAGAACTGACCATAGATTTTTTCTACCTATTTAAACTGTGGTCTTTATAGTATTTTATATTATGTTAATACCCCGTTTTTTTTTAAATGCTGCAGTAAAAACGCTTCATGTGAAGTACATATATAGTATGGTATGTCCTGTATAAGAACTGTCCATTGTTTTTTTCTACTTATTAGAAATGGGGTTTTTATATCACTTTATAATAGGTTAATACCTAGTTTCTCTAAAACGCTGCAGTAAAAAAGATTTCATGTGAAGTACACATATAGTATGGGATGTCCTGAATAAGAACTGACCATTGTTTCTTTCTATTTAATCGAAATGGGGTCTTTACAACACTTTATATTATGTTAATGTCCCACTTCTCCAGATTGCTGGAGTAAGAAGTGTTTATATGTAGTATGCATATTGTATGTGATGTTCTGTACAGGAACTGATCATTGTTTTTTGTCTATTTATTGAAAATTGGGTCTTCATAACACTTTGAGTAATGTTAATGCCCAATTTCTCCAAGACGCTGCAGTAACAAGTCTTTAAATGAGGTTTAGTATGGGATGTCCTGTATAAGACCTGACTATTGTTTTTTTTTTCTACATCTTTTAAATGAGCAATTTTTTTTCCAAATTGCTGCAGTAAAAAGGATTCATGTGTTGTATATATGCATATAGCATGGGACATGTAGTATCAGACCTGATCACTCTTTTATTTAACTTATTCCAAACAATGTATTTATAACACTTTAAAGACTTTTTAGCTCATTAATAGCCCATTTCTCCAAAATGCTGCAGTAAGTTATTATGAGGTATGCATAAAATATTGCATGTCCTGTCCATAGTTTTCTTCTGTTAACTTAAATGAGGTCTTTTACATGAGGTATGCATGTACATCCTGTATCAGAACCAAACTTTGTTTTTTTTCTACTTATTTCTTTATAGCACTTTAAAGTGTGTTAATGGTACATTTCTCCAAAATGCTGCAGTAAAACAGGCTTCATATGATGTATGCTTAGTATTTGACTTCCTGCATCGATCTTATTGTTGTTCTATTCTACTTATAACAAATAATAAGGTCTTTACATTCATCTAAAGTGTAGTAATGCCCCATATCCCATATACTGAAAGAAGCATATATTTTTAAATCCCCTTTAAATAAAACCAACATATATTTGTAACTTAAACAATGCTATGTTGGACTACTTCATGATTATTTTCACTTTCTGAGGTTAGGCACGTTGTATAAAATTGCATTCAACCTTATTAGCAATGTACTGTAGTTGGCTAGGAGAAATAAAAACGCTTTCTGGGTATTTAGAAATCGTATATTTATTCTGACCGTTTGATTGCTATAAAATCATTTGAAGCAAAAAGATAGACTTGAGGAAATTAAAGGTAAGCACAGAAACCAATTTCTTAAAATAACAACAGTCAAAAAAAGCTAATAAATTGTTTAATAAAGCATACGTGGGAGGAAAGGGGGATAAACTTATATTTCGTTGTTATCTCTCTGTTCTGGGCGAAATGTGTGCTCTGTGGAGCGCTCTCTGTGTGGCTGCTGACATTACCGTAATGATAATAATACGCGCGCACCAAAATATAAAGCGCGGCTGGCTTGACTGTGTTTTTCCGAACCGCGGCTGGCTTGACCGCAGTCCGTTGGTGTCAGTTGCGCTGCTGATCATATTAATGAAGAGCTGCTGATGATCTGTAATGAACTGAATAAAGCTGTACCTCCAGTGAATGCGGCAGGCACTATCCTGTGTCCTGTCCCTCTGCTGGATGAGAGCAGCCTGAGCTCAGCCCGCTGGGACACATTTAGAGAATATTTCAGAAAACTCAACGATCGGATCATTTCTGCTGCTGTAGTTTGACCTATAGAAGGCTGCAACTGCGGCGTGACAGAAGTGCAGAGCGGAAGGACCCCACAGGCGCTCACTGATGACGTCTGCATGCAGTTTGACTCATGCCTGTCTGTCAGTATAGACAAGTCTATAAATAACCTAATTTTTTTCACTGCATTACTATGTTGAACGCACTTCATTTTCAACCGACATTTTCAAATGACATTTGGTCTCGCACAATAATCGATGTAACGTTATGGTCTGCAGACCGACTTGAGTGTGCATGTGTTTTAATGTTAAGACTTTTGGCTTAATTTAATTTGCTTGCCGTGCTTCAGTGTTGTTCAAATAACATTGTATTAAAATGTTAAATAATAGTAAGCGTGTATATTTTATTTGTATTGAAAAAAATAAGACATTTATTAAAAGACTGAATGAAACATTACTTACCAACACAAAAACAATACACAATTCATAAATTGAGCTAAAACAAAAGTCTCAAACTGATACTAAATGAAGAGCCAGAACACCGTCAACACCGGCTCTTCTAACGGAGCCGAGTCAAAAGAGCCGTGTCGAATGATCATCTGATCAGAAAAAACGAAAGTAAAACTACAAAGCATTGTTCTCTTACCTTTATAGGTATTAGAGTCAAATAATCGTATCAAATTATTTAGACACTCTTGTGAACACAGCAGTGGTAAATTCAAGGTAAGCCATGCATTTATCCAGCAAGAGTTTTAGTCAGAGAACAGCTAACGTTAAGCTATGTTTTACTTCCGTACATAAGCAGGCCAGCATCTTTTTATACTTCTGTACTTTATTTATATCACCGCCTGCTCTATAACGTCATGGTGTTTGAAAGAGTTGAATTTTGCAATTGTAACCTGTTTGCGTTTTGCATAACGTAATATGTTAAAAGGAAAACAAGTGAACTTTCATTTTCTTTGTTATAGCACATAGAAAGGGCTATAAAAACGAGCATGCTCAAATACCAACCATCCCTTTTGAAATCTTAACGCTATTTACTAACTAATAGATAGGACACATTTGCTGTTTTTTTATTTTATTTTTTATCCTAAGTATATTATATTTTATTTTCACTTGTCTGAATGCTGTATGACTACCGTACATATTAGTAGGCCTATCCGTAGTACAATTTACTTGTCAAACATTCATCAATAAGTATACATACTCAGGTACTTCCTTTTTAATTGTAGACGTGCATGTAAAATGATTTGTCAGAGGTTCTATATAGAACCTTGGGCTTCTATATTTGGCCAGTAGAACCTTTTACCCAAAAATGGTTCCATTTAGAACCCTTTGAGTGCAAAGAACCTTTTTGATTAAAATGGTTATATAGTTTTTGATTCATAACATAATTATCTAGTAAAGATTATAAAATAATTATAAGCTATAACACGGGTATACAAAGCTTTTTGAGTCAAAACCTAATAAAATGAATGCTGTGGTCAAAAACTTTATCAGTGTACAGTATGATGGGATTTTTTTCATTCAAGTTTGCACATTAGCATATAGCTTATATTATTTATATACTTAATATTTAACATTTTTAACAAATTATTTTGTGAAATAAATAAAATAACCAGTTTATTTATTTAGACTGTACAGTACCATGTTTTTATGATTTAATAATTAATTAAAACTAATAATCATCGTCGTAGACTGGTGGTGAAGATCCTCGAGAGTGACGGTTAATTTTTCGAAAGGAGAAGTCCACCACAGCTTCATCATTCACACAATATATATATATATATATATATATATATATATATATATATATATATATATATATATATATATATATATATATACTTAAAGATTTAATATTTCACAATACATTAAGCCTGCATTTTTGTGTCCTTTATAAATAGCACCTGATCTTTCATCTATGGATTATTAAAATTTGTTTGGCTTTAAAAGGTTTTAATAAAATCCAGGGACAGACTGGCCATAGGGAGAACCGGGACCTTTCATGGTGGCCTGATGGTCAATCAGAAGAACCTTTTGGGGTTTTATTCTACTTCAAAGAACCATTTGGGGTTTTATTTAAGGAACCCTTAAAATGGTTCTATTTAGAACCTTTTGGGGGTTCCATATTTGAAGCACTTGATAGAACCATTTTTGGTTCTAAATAGAACCGTTTCTTTTAAGAGTGTAGGATAGAGGATTCAGAGGCAAAACACTTCATCTTAATACATCATTCTGTAAGTTGTATATTAAACAGATTAGTTTTCATATTTTTTCATGTTTTTTTTTCTTTCAGTGTTTTTGGAGATGAAGTTCGCTAGTTTGATTCTGCTCATTCTAGGAGGAATTATAGATTCACTATCAGGTAATTAATCACATCCACATATAAAGAGCTGAAGTGTGTGCACTATAGATTAAACTGCAATTGTTCAGCGGATCAGGTTTATTAATATAACTCAATGCAGATGGCATTTATTACACAGCTTAAGATTACTGACTGTGAGCTGATTTGTGAAGGACAGTCACTGAAATCCCAGAAACGCTGAAGTCTCAGTCCCACACTTGAGGACAATATTTTACTTTTATTCTAATAACATTGTAATCATTTCTGTTTTGGTTGTGATAATGATTGAGGTGATCTAGGTGTGTTCGAGGCAGAGTTCACCCAAAAATGTGAACTTTGAAAGTTTCCTCACCATTTTTTCACTTGTATCTAAACTTTTATGAGTTTCTTTTTTTTTGTTGGAAGATATACTAAATAATGTTGGGGGAAAAAAACTGTCATTGACAACCGAAGTAGACTGACATTTTAAAAGACAATGTTTGTTTGTTTTGCATTGTTTTTTGTTTTTTTTTTGTCCATGCTCTCTTTCTCTTGTAGCAGAGCGCAATGAAGTAGTGGGGTCTGCAGATTCTGTATTTGCATTTGCTGGTGAAGATGTGATTCTGCCCTGTTTAGTCAAACCCAACATCAGTGTTGTGGACATGAAAGTGGAGTGGTTTAGACTTGATCAGGAATACTCAGTTGTGCATCTCTATGAAGACCATGTAGACAGAAACACAGAGCAGATTCAGTCCTACAAAGGGAGAACTGAACTCAATCATCAGCAACTACAGACAGGAAACGCATCACTCAGACTATCAGCAGTGAAAGTGTCTGATGAAGGACGTTATAAGTGCTTTATTCAGTCCAGCTCCTGGTCTGATGATACCACGATTGATTTTAAAGTTGAAGGTGAGTAAACCAATGCCATTAAAATGTTAAGTATGATGCATATACAGTAGCATGATGATGTTGTTTAATTCACTCCATGAATGTTTTCTGTTGTTCTGTAGCTGTAGGAAATCCTCCAGTGATCACAGTAGATGGATTTGATCGTTCAGGAGGGCTTCATCTACTGTGTGAATCTGAAGGTTGGTATCCTGAACCTGATCTGGAGTGGCTGGACAGTAAAGGAGTCAGATTGAGTCCAGAATCTACAGAGACACAAAGAAACACAGACAGATTTAGTGTGAAACACACCTTCACTGTTCATCAGAGAGACGGCAAGATTCACTGCAGAGTCAGAGTAAGACACCACATGCTGGAGGCACTGATCAGCTCTACAAGTGAGTAACTGTGTCTTAATTTGTCCATTCCATTATTTAAAACAATAAAAGCCGTAGATTTGTGCATCAACATTATACTGTGTATGTAATCGTCATAATTATACTGAGCTCATTATTTAATTATAATTTCAGCGAAATACATTTCGCTTACTCTTTGCTTAATCAGTGTTTTATTTTGCAGGTAATATGTATCTTTACTGGAGGACATCAGTGATTGTGATTTCAGTGGTTATTGTGATTGCTGGAATACTGATCTCTGTTGCTGTTTTTAAATACAGAGGTAAAATAATACAACTTTTATGTAAATAAGGCAACCTGTGGAGAGCTTTTCATTTAAATTGTTCATATCTTTCAGAAATAAATTATTTCCACCAAATCACCAATAATTGTTTAATGACAGTTTTAAATAATTGTGCACACAAACCTGAATAAATGTCTATGCCATCATATGATATGCCATGCTGTTTGAAGACATTACCAGTGTCGTAGTAAAACAAAAGGCTAAAATCATAGTATGCTTTTTGTTTTTTATAAAAAATAAAAATTCCATAACGTTTCTGTGAATGTTGTGGTTAGAGGTATAGGTTAGGACATAAGGGAACAGAATATACAGTTTGTGCAGTATAAAAATAATTTACTCTATGATGAGTTTGTGCAAATCCTCACATACAGGTGTGTGTGTGTGTGTGTGTGTGTGTGTGTTATATAACAATCCTCATCAAAACCTCTGATCTGTAAAGCATGATGCTTGGGATAAATCCATGTACAGCTGCTGCAGAGGAAAATGTCTTTGTACAAAGAACTATGAATATATACAAAAGCTGTTGAATTTACTCATTCATTTAATTAATTAGTCATGGAAAAAAACACAATAAACACACCCATCTGCCCCAAGATCTGTGAGATCATCTTACGTTACAAAATATTAATATCACAATATCAGGCTGTTTTTGTCCACAATGTCATGAGTTCATTAAGCACAACAGTTCAGTAAATACATTTGGTCAGTTTTACTAACACAAATATAACCTTTAAAACCACAACGTTTGTGCATCTGCAGTCTGAGTGATTGGCCATTTTTAGACATTGTGGCCTAAAACTTCCTGTGTAATAAATTCTAAATAATAATTAAATAATGATTTCGTTTATGTCTGCTTTATGCTTATTGTAAGTAACACATTAATGATGAATTTTAGTTCACTTTAATATACAAGTAATTCACATTAGGGCTGCTGACTGATAATATTTTGAAATCAGATTAATTACATAATATTATCAATTATTCATTCATTCATTTTCTTTTCGGCTTAGTCCCTTAATCAATCCGGGGTCGCCGCTGCGGAATGAACCGCCAACTTATCCAGCACGTTTTACACAGCAGATGCCCTTCCAGCTGCAACCCAGTACTGGGAAACACAGACACACTCATTCGATACACTATGATACACTCACATAGATACACTATGGACAATTTAGCTTACTCAATTTACCTATAGCACATGTTTTTGGACTTGGGGAAACCGGAGCACCCGTCGGAAACCCAGGCGTACACGGGAAGAACAAGCAAACTCCACACTGTAATGTCAACTGTCAACTGAATGTCTTGCTGTAAGGCGACAGCACTACATTCTGCGCCACCGTGTCGCAGTATTTAAAACATTTAAAATAAGTGTAATGCTGTTTTCTCATCTTTACTCTGAATTGTTTACAACAGTCAAATAAGGAATGGCAAGATAAAATACAGAGTACTTTTCATTAATTAGGATATTGATTTATTTTTTTATGTTTGTTTTCACTTTTATAATATTGAATTAACAGTGTATTCACATATGTTTGTGTGTATCTTGTGTTTTGTGATTTGCAGTCTGAAATGATGTTTTTATTCAATGTTTCTGGTGTCTGAATTCTTTTCTTTCTCCTAATGTTTCTTCAGAACACAGGCGACTACAGCATGAGAACAGCAGAATGAAAAGTGGTGAGTTTGTCTTTATTAAAGGGATGGATCACCCAACAATGAACATTTACTCACTGTTGTGGAGTTTCAAACCTTTATGAGTTTCTTTCTTCTGTTAAACACAAAAGGAGATTTTCTGAAGAATGCTGAAAACCTGTACCCATTGACTTCCATAGTGGAAAAAAACAAATACTATAAAAGTCAGTGGTTACAGGTTTCCAGATTTCTACAGAATATATTCGTGTTCAACAGAAGAAAAAAGTCAAACAGGTTTGGAAGAAGTAAAAGGTGATGACAGATAAACGATGACAGGATTTTCAATTTTGGGTGAACTATCCCTTAAGTTATTCATTCATTTGTTTTCTTTTCGGCTTAGTCCCTTTATTTATCTGGGGTCGCCACAATGGAATGAACCGCCAACTTATTCAGCACATGTTTTACACAGCAGATGCCCTTCCAGCTGCAACCCAGTACTGGGAAACACAGACGCACTCATTCGATACACTATGATACACTCACATAGATACACTATGGACAATTTAGCTTACTCAATTTACCTATAGCACATGTTTTTGGACTTGTGGAGGAAACCAGAGCACCCGTCGGAAACCCAGGCGTACACGGGAAGAACAAGCATCTCCACACTGAAATGTCAACTGACCCGGTCTAGGCTCGAACCAGCGACCTTCTTGCTGTGAGGTGACAGCACTACCTACTGCGCCACCACGTCACAGTATTTAAAACATTTAAAATAAGTGTAATGCTGTTTTCTCATCTTTACTCTGAATTGTTTACAACAGTCAAATAAGGAATGGCAAGATAAAATACGGAGTACTTTTTACTTATCAGGTTATTGATTTATTTTTTATTTTTGTTTTATTTTATTTTTTTTATAATATTGAATTAACAGTGTATTCACATATGTTTGTGTATATCTTGTGTCTTGTGATTTGCAGTTATTGTTCCTCAGTCTGAAATGATGTTTTTATTCAATGTTTCTGGTGTCTGAATTCTTTTCTTTCTCCTAATGTTTCTTCAGAACACAGGCGACTACAGCATGAGAACAGCAGAATGAAAAGTGGTGAGTTTGTCTTTATTAAAGGGATGGATCACCCAACAATGAACATTTACTCACTGTTGTGGAGTTTCAAACCTTTATGAGTTTCTTTCTTCTGTTAAACACAAAAGGAGATTTTCTGAAGAATGCTGAAAACCTGTACCCATTGACTTCCATAGTGGAAAAAAACAAATACTATAAAAGTCAGTGGTTACAGGTTTCCAGATTTCTACAGAATATCTTCATGTTCAACAGAAGAAAAAAGTCAAACAGGTTTGGAAGAGGTAAAAGGTGATGACAGATAAACGATGACAGGATTTTCAATTTTGGGTGAACTATCCCTTAAGTTATTCATTCATTTGTTTTCTTTTTGGCTTAGTCCCTTTATTTATCTGGGGTCGCCACAATGGAATGAACCGCCAACTTATGTCTTAGCATATGTTTTACTCAGCGGATGCCCTTTCAGCTGCAACCCAGTACAGGGAAACATCCATACACACTCATAAGGCTCTATTTTGACGATCCATGTGCAAAGTGCAAAGAGCAGGGCGCAAACACATTCAGGGCGTGTCAGAATCCACTTTTGCTAAAATAAGGATGGAAAAATGCGCTTTGCGCCGTGGCGCATGGTCTAAAAGGGTTGAGCTTATTTTCTTAATGAGTTATAGGTGTGTTTGGAGAATAAACTCATCTCCCATTCCCTCTGTGTTGGATACAAATTCTTAAGCAACAGGCTAGCTTTGACATTTCATTCAACAACCTTTTATTCATTCCCTCATGACAATATTTAAATTAAAGTCACTTCATAATGTCCCTTTCTCCCAGAATTCTCTGCATAATTATCGTTTCTCACTCGCACCAACAATGTGCTCTCTTGCCTGAAGCCATTTTCATTTGTTTTTCATCAGACGCCTGACACAAAATGTAGTGAAAAATACATGACAGTATTAGTGTGATTGCGGTGTTTACACTACACTTCAGTAATGTGTCTAAAATAGGAATACTTTACATGTCTTAATCTGATTTCTGTTTAGTTTGATTATGACCTTAGTTAGATAAAGGTAATCAAAAATCATTTACACGATAGACTCTAGAGTATTAGTGTCAATGCTACTGAGACTCAACAGACTGTTCTGAGGGGTTGCTAACATGTTGCTAGGCAGTTGCTGGTATGTTCTGAGTAGTTGCTAGGCATTTGATAAGATGTTCTGAGTGGTTTCTAGTGTTTCCCTACAGCGTTCTGATACTGAGATACAGCTGTTGTTAAATGGTTGCTAGGTTAGTCTGTTTTGTTGCTATATAGTTGATTGACAGTGTGGCATAACCAAGGGGTTCAATAATGTTCAACAGCTAGCACGACTACGCCACCCTGGAATATGGCGAGGGACCTATATTTTATATTATAAAAAGGCAACACAGGTAAGCTTGCAGTAAATGTCAAGAGACGTGGATAGGAAAAATACATACAAACTTTATTTTTTTCAAAAATGCATCAAAAAACGGGGGACAATGTATATACTGTTTAAATTCAATAAAACCCATCTACTAAAAAATACACTACACGCACATACTAAAAACACCTGGATTTAGGAGTGCAGGGGCTGAGACGTGACAGCAGAGAGTAAGGGCACAACAAGGCCTCCACAGCAAGACCACCAAGACCTGTGACACACACACACACACACAAGAAAGACCTCCACCAGGAATCCACCCTGCCTTAGGTGCTCTGCTCCTGAAAACACAAAATCCAGTTACTACAAAGTTTTAATAAACCGGTCACTGACACTAACACACAATCACTTGGGCGCACAACACACTGAAATGCTAATAGATAATGAATTATAACCCTTCTCAATGAACCCTCTGCTGGGGAAGCAACCCAAAAATACAAAATATAAGAGGAAGACACAAAAGGGTTAAACAGTCTTGAATATACATACACGGAGACTGTTACAAATGAAAAAAACAAATACAATTTCAATAAAGCATACAAAAAAAAAAACAATGTAATAGAAAGAAGTCAAATTAGAAAATACAATTTCAAGGAAACCAACACAAGTACAAAAAAAAAAATGTATCTAACAAAACTAGGCGAAATTACCCATACATAACTAAAGAGAAAAAAAACAACAAGGACCATTCAAATCAGTCAACCACAACCTTCAAATACGGTCCTAGCACTGAATGTGTAGGGACCAATGACTGTAAAAAATATGGACGACGCGACAGCCCCTTTTCCCATTGAACGCCTTGAGGGCAAAACGCCTGCTTGACGGGCACAAACTGTCGCAAAAGACTGCTGAAATTGGAGGCTTGACATGCGCAGAAGGACTGTCTGATGGAGCCAGAGGAGGAGCCGCGAAAATGAGCTGAGTCGAGCTTCCAACCAAACGCTTTATGTAAAATCAACCACGCCCCCCAAACTTCTCACTCGACTGCCGGTGTCTGCACTATAACAAACGCTCACTGATGTAAATAAGAAGCACTTACATTAAAAAAACACAATGATATACGGTTTAAAAACGGTGTGATGTAAGCTGTTAAACTTTAATAAAAGCAATACATGCTGGACTGCAGAAATAAACGATCTTTTATACACTCTAGCCTGAATATGAGCACAAATAATATATTCTCTTATTGTTATATTTGTTGTTGGTATTTGTTATCTTCATAGGGGTAGAAATAACACTTGTAAAATATGAACAATAACATATAAACAACACATACATTTTTAGAAAGGTTTTTATTTTTAATTAGCCATTAACAGAACCCAAAATATAGCCTACACAACATAACGATTTACCATGCGGAAACAATCGTGCGTTTAGAAGATAAATACAGCAAGATTACTAAATATCAACAGGATATTTACACATCCCAACCCTGCAATTTGTCAATTTGTGCAAAAAAACTTTTCACTATTAATACAACGTCTATCTGCTGTAACATCACTAGTATATCGTTTATTCATTTTCGCTTGAATTGTTTATTTAATTTTTTTGCCTCCGTTTTCATTTGGTTTATTCAATGCCTTCATTATATCTGGCAACGAGGAATTTACATTCATTTTAATGTTAGCTGGAGTGTTCAAATAAAACGCCAACAGTAAATGATGTAAATAAATAATATCTAACATTTACAGCTCTATTAGGTTATATAAGATTCGATTTCAAGAACCTTATAATGATTTATAACAGCAAATTCAGTAGATTACTTAATAACATGCCAAAACTTAAAATGCAGAGACGTCCTGTAAAGCAAGTTCAAATACCCTTACAGGAGATCAAAGTGGAGATTATTATTTAGACACAAAGAGAATTACTGCTAACGATCTCCTGTATTTTCCCCGTACTTAAATGGGTTTATTTTATTGTGCAGTTTTATTGTCATTTTTGTATTTCTTAATTCTTGTGCACTACAAAATGTCTTCAATTGTATTATTATTTAATACTTGTGCAATCGATACAGGTTTATTGTTATTTATTTTGTCCTTTATTTAAATAATTGCTGTATGCTGTTTGCATCTTTATTCAAAGGTTACACTCAGTGATACACTTTGCGTTCACATAGTAGCATGCGTTTGTTGTTATATCAACAAAAATGGTTGTAATAACGTTAACAAATGTGAGGGTTTTATATAATGAAGATTCAATCGCGCCAGCTCCGGGCAGCAGCGCACATAACCTACTCGCGGCGTCGCGGGCTGATTTCGGCTTGCATGCGGCAGCGCGTGCTCGCTCGGCCGCCGCATCTGGCTCAATTGACTCGGGCTGGAATCGGACAGTGAGTCCAGGCATCCGGAGTAGGTCCAGCAGAGGTAGTCAGTCTGAGGGGTAAGTCTCCGGCAGGCAAGAACTGGCCCCAGTGTATTTTGCTATCTGGGTGGCTAGGCGTGTATTAGCAAACTAATAAAGCCCGAAAAAAGCTCTGACCTTAGCGAATAAACAGTGTTCCACCAGATCATGTATGTCAGAAACTGTAGTTTACTGCTGAACTCTTTTTGACATGGTAAAATAACACAGAAATCGAGTAATAACACTTCAGTCTCCTGCCGAAGCTCAGACGCGCTGCTTTGAGAAACTGTTAATCACAGCTGTCAATCACGATGACACGCCCAGCATTAAATTACTGCTAAAAACAAACTGTTTACAAAAATGAAGATCTGCACCTATTTCAGCACAATAACCAGTGCCTTAATCGACCAGAACCATCTTTCGGGACATTTTATTGCAAGTGTAATAATTTTTTTTATTTGGGCTCAAGTCTCCTTCATTAACACGGAGGAGGCGGGCTTTATGACTTGTACTGCAGCCAGCCCCCAGGGGGCGATCTAACGGCCGAGACCTTCACTCAAACGCAGGCTTGCGGCACACTGGGTAGGGACACTAATGTTCACTACATTAAAAACTGCATCATCCCCAAAAATACTAAAACAGCATCAAAGCAGCAGTTAAACAGCCTCCTAAAACACTCTGATAGCAGTGAACAGTCCCCTAAAGCAGCAGTTAAACAGCGGTTAAGCAGCAGCGTCGTTTAGAAACCTCCCACGTAGCTATAGGTTGTCAAATGGCACCCCACAATCATTTTCAGTCTGTAAAATGGTAAGGGGATTTAAGTTAGCTTGAGTGCATGAGCAAGCTAATCCAAAGATTTTAAAATCACTAACCGCAACACTCAATTTCGCTTAATCAATAGAGCATCAGAACACCAACACATAGGAAAACAGGCTCAATCAATCATTAATAAATCCTAAACATATCCGTGGGTAAAATGTAGTTTTGTAATGCAGTGAAACAAACTGTTGACTGCAAGGGAGGAGGAAACAAATAATGATCATCACTTTACTACCATCAACTTTCCATCCAAAAAGCAACGAGCAAAAGCAGCCAGTTACCTGCAGAAGGGCAGCCGTAGATGCCCACCAACACCGTGATCCCGATAAGCACAACACTAAACAAACATACAAAACATGAGCTTTCCCAATGAAGCAACCCGTACACAGGCGACCACAGAGGGGCGGCGCTTGTCTGGCCACAACAGCTTAGAGTGATGATGCATCAAAGCTTCTTACCAATATGAATGGTATAAACCAACCAAGTGGTGCTAGGTGGTTGCTCAGGTTTTCTGACTTATTGCTAGGCAGTTGTTAGGGTTGTTACTAGATAAGCCTAATTTACTTTACATGTTTCATCAAATCTTAATACTTAGTAAGCAGTTATAGCACTTAGCCAATAATGATTAGCATGTAGCTAGTCACTACTAGCATTTGTGTCAATCTGGAAGCTCTATAATATCAGTCTATGAGTTTCTTCATTGTTGTAAGTCTATGGGCATGTTTGGGACACTCTTGCACCCAAGGGGTACAACTACTGTAGTTTTGAGTTTGAGTAGCATCAATATGGTTGATTTCTTAAGCCAACATAAATATCTAGTTTACAAGCACTGTGTGTTTTAGCAGGGAATAAAATAACTATTTGTCAAAGTATAAAAGTTGTTTATAAATGTTTAATAACATTATACTTTCTGTTTTTTAGTTATCAATCATTTAAGAAAACTCATGGGTGAGTATAAATGTTTGACCACTGTAATCATTTTAATGATGTTCATTTCCCATACTCATAATCATGCTTAACTTTTTTTATACATGTGTACTGTAGCTGATAGTGTGGTTAAGTTGAATTAATCACTGTGGTACGTCTGATCAAAACGCGACGAAGATGCTTATTGTCTCACTTGGGTTTATTTCCATTAGTATAAGCAGACATATAGGTGTTGGGGTGAGGGTGTGTGTGTGTGGTAAACATTAGTTTAAACAATAGATAAATGAGCAGTAACAATAGGTAGAAAGACATTAGATAATATTTAGAAGTACTATTCTTCACTTTATATAGCTTATTATAGCAGTTTCTCAACTTTGGTCCGACCAGGGATCGAACCCACGACCGCTTGCAATACTGACGTCACACAGTATATCACGTGCGTTAGCATGACTATTCTTTTCTTAGCCTACACGGCAACCTCGTTAAATCGTCTAATAACCTTAAACTAAACTCAATGAAAGGCAAATATGTTTCCGCTTGATGTAAACAATAAGAATAAACTATATACAGATGTTAATCATGCATTTAGGTAGTATAAAACTGGCTCTTAGGGTGACTTTACGGCACAAAGTAATTAAATAATTAAACTAAACATCTCACGGTGATAACCCTTAAACAACATGATAAATATGATTAAGGAACGAAGAAACTTACATTTAGATGCACGCACACAATTAAATAACACCGCTAGAAAAGGAGGACGTTTCTCATGTGCTCCATGCTCTGCAGACTATTACCGACTGACACACGTATGGTAAACTTTCTGGAACATTCTAAACATACTCAGTCTTTCCACAAGGGGGCAGCAACAGTCCACAGTCCTTAAGAAGGGTGAATAAAGAGCCCTTTGCAACAGCCGCCCCCAAATTTGCACAGTCAAATTTGCTTATTCAGAAGGGCTCGAAACTGTGTCCATGTCTGGGAGTGCTGGTAGCTTAATGAGGCGTGCTACAGTTCTGACATATGTTCTGTCCCTAATTCTGACCTCAGCAGTTCTGATTAGTCCATCCGCACTGGGGAAAACATTAATAATCTTGCCTACGGGCCAGAGGGCTCTAGGTAACTGTGGGTCCACAATCATGACGATCATATCTGGCTGCAATTGGTCTCTTACTCTCTGCCATTTTCCACGGATTTGTAGGCTGGGTAGGTAGTGCTTTGTGAAGTGCATCCAGAACTGATCTGCGAGCACTTGCGAGTGTCTCCACCTTCGGCGGCTTAAGAGCTCTGTTTCATGGTAAACTGTTTGCGGGAGTGAAGGGTCTAGCCGCCCCATCAGAAGAATGTTTGGAGTCACCGGGTTGGGGTCAGCAATGTCCGTGGACACATAACCCAGAGGTTTTGAATTCAGTATTCCTTCTATTTCAGTGAGAACAGTGTTCAAGACTTCTTCAGTCATGCTTTGTCTTTGTACAGTGGTATACAGGGCAGACTTGACCGATCTAATCTCGCGTTCCCATACTCCTCCAAAATGGGGACTACCGGGAGGGTTGAATCGAAATTGAATTTGTTGTTTAGCAAGCTCTTTCTGCAGTGTGGGACACATGGATGTGAATGACTGTTGGAGCTCCCTTTCTCCCCCTTTAAAGTTGGTGCCTTGATCTGATAATAGCTCTGAAGGTTTCCCTCGCCGGTATATGAAGCGCCATAGTGACAGATCAGAAATGAATCAGTATCAAGACTACTTAGTAGGTCGATGTGAACAGCACGGGTTGTCAGACATTTGAACAAGATGCCCCAACGTTTTTCACTTCTTCTGCCTAGTTTAACAGTAAAGGGGCCAAAACAGTCCATTCCTGTAGAGAAGAATGGTGGTTTGAAAATCTGATATCTGGCTTGAGGGAGATCTGCCATCTGAGGCACTGTTGGTTTAGCTCGCCACCTTTGACAATCAGGGCATAAGTGTTGTTGCCGTTTAACTGCTTCTCTGCCGCGTAAAATCCAATATTTACGGCGGATCTCTGCAAAGACCCGTTCCGCCCCAGGGTGATGAAGCTCTTTGTCTATGTTCTGAATGAGAAGTTGGGTAATTTTGTGAGATGGGTCAAGAACAATTGGGTGAACAGCATCTGCGTCTAATTGATGACTGCGGCGTAGTCTCCCACCCACTCGGATGAGCCCAACTGTGCTGTCATATTCAGGTGCTAAAGTTATGAGGCGGCTAGAGGATGGTACTGGTTTACCGGCGACAAGGGCATTGATGTCATCAGGGAAGCAGTCAATTTGAACCTTTCGTAAGGTATTTCTTTCTGCTGACTGATAATCCACGGCTGAAAGATCTCCATCTTTACCTGCCGCCCCGTGCAGAAGTAGTGCTGTCGCTTCAACTAAGGCTTTAAAGCAGGTAAACTGTTGCGGATCAGGCAATGGCTGTACATCGACTGTTACGTGACTACAGAAAGTGGGCTTCTTTAATTCGACAGGATTTTCCTTTGCATTCATGTTAGGGATAACAGGCCAGTAGCAAGGTGAGTTCCACAGATATTCCGGTCCTTGTCTCCAGGTTTTGTCTGTAGCTAGCTCCTTCAGAGTTTTCCCGTGAGTGATATAATCAGCTGGATTATTGTTGGATTCCACTTAACGCCAGGCATGTGCACTTGTAAGTTCCTGTATTTCTGCAATTCTGGTGCCTACAAATACTTTGTAACGGGAGGATTCTGACTGAAGCCATGTTAGGACAGTGGTAGAATCAGTCCAGAGTATAAAGGATTCGATGGGTAGAGTGAGCTCTTTAGTTAATAGTGAAGCCAATTGGGCACCTGTGAGAGCTGCACAAAGTTCCAGTCGAGGCACAGATAACTGGCGTTTAGGGGCTACTCTTGACCTTGCTGTGAGGAACGCTACCTCAACATTTCCCTTTAGATCCTCTGAGCGCAAGTATGCTACAGATCCGTATGCCCGCTCAGAGGCATCACTGAAGATTTGCACTTGTCACTTACAGTTCAGGGAATCCAACTGGGAACTCACATAGCAGCGTGGCAGTTTCAGTTGGGAAAGATGCTGAAGTTCCCCTTGCCAATCATGCCATGTTTGGAGAATTTCAGTTGGCAGTAGGGGGTCATCCCATTCTCGTTGCTTAGCCCAAAGACTCTGTATAAGGATCTTGGCTCGGGTGATGTAGGGGACAAGGAATCCAAGAGGGTCATACTGGCTTGCTACTACCTTCTATATGTTTCTCATTGTGGGAATGGAACAGTTGTCAAGGCGGGTTTGGTATCCGAGAGTATCAGACTGGCACATCCATCGTAATCCTAAAGCGAGTTCTTGAGGATCGGATTCAGTTTGGTTAAGCCAGCGTTCACTGCTTTCTGATCTGGCTTCCTTTGACAGATGTTCAATGACATTCGGAAAATTGCATGCCCACTGACGCAATTCAAATCCTCCTTCGGCCAACAGATTCATCCCTGTGTCTACCAGCTCTTTAGCTTCGTCAGGTGTCGCGACACTCTGTAGCCAATTATCTACATAAAAACACCTTTCCAGTGAGTGGCGGACATTGTCTCCTTGCTGACTGTGGTCAACACTGTGCTTTTGTAGTGCGTATGTGGCACAACACAAACTACAGGTAGTCCCGAATGGGAGCACCTGCCACTCATAGACTCTGGGGAGTTCTTCTCTCTTTAGGTCACGCCATAAGAACCTGAGTAGGGGCTTATCCTCGGGCAGTAATCTTACTTGATGAAACATCCCCATTATATCACTACTAAAGGCTACAGCATGCTCCCTGAAGCGCAGCAACACTCCAAGTAATGAGGACCCCAGAGCTGGTCCCGGCAGCAGCAGGTTGTTCAGGTTCTTACCCTGATATGAGAATGAGCAGTTGAATACAACTCTGTTTTTGGCATTATGGCTCACCATATGGTGGGGAATGAACCATGATTCTTCCTCTTTCTTTGTTAGTTTCTGGTTGGGTACTTCAACCACATAACCTGCTTCTTTCAGTCTTTGAATTTCAGCTCTGTATGCCTCTGATTTTATTGGATCTTTGGCTAGGCGGGCTTCGGTGCTGCGCAGATTCGGCATTACAGCTTGTTTAGTAGCTTGTAATTTTGGCATGTCCTTAACCCTTAAGAGAGGTGTGGCATATCGTTGTGTCCCATTGACATCAATTCTAGTTGTCTTTGCCTCTAACAGGTCGACAGCTTCTTGATCTTGCTTAGATCTGGTCGCAAGTTTCTCGCTTCTGTAGGGCAGTACATCTAGTTGCCAGAGTTTCTCAATGTGTCTGAACAGCTCATTAGAAGGGCTACAGATGGATATATTGAGACACTGCTGGGTCAAAAGTTGATGCCGCACAAGCTTAGTAGGCCCCTGGACTGTCCAGCCTAGTCACGTTTTCACTGCTGCGGGTCCGCCAGGAGGCCCTAGGCGTACAGGCTTGATTGGAGTGATTAGGTAGGGATAGTCAGAGCCAATTAGAAGGAGGGGCTGAACACTGTTCAGGGATGGGATTGGCAGTCCCCTGAGGTGTCTGTATTTATGCTGCAAGGTGGTAGCTGGGCATGTGTGTTCAGCGAGCCCCAAATGGTCTGCAGTAAATGCTCTATGTATCTTAAAGACTTTGTGAGGCTGGCAGGCAGGGGAGATGGTAAAGCAGACTGTAGTACCATGTATGATTTTCATGTCCTGTCTGACAGTTCTCAGCAAGGTTTTCTGGTTTGCCTTGTAACTTCAGTTCCTGGGCGGCCGCTTGCAGAAGGATTGTGCCTTCTGAGCCATCATCCAAAATGGCATATGTCTCAAGGGTATGTTCCCCATTCCGAAGAATTACCTTTGTAACCTTTAGCAGTACTTGACTGCAGCCTAATGGTCTGTGCAGGTATAGAACTTCATTGGCGTTGTTGACAAGACAAGTGTTCTCAGAAACTGGCCTTTCATTCAGCTCATGAAATGCATCGAGATGTTTGCCTTTACAGACCTTACAGCTTGTCTTTAAATTGCACTGTGCTGCCTGATGAGCTCGACCACAACGCCAGCATCTCTTATTGGTTTTCACCCAGTTTGTTTTTTGTTCTTTGGTGAGCTGGCTGAAATTTTGACACTGATTCAGATAATGCTGGGTATTTGTGCAGTAGGGGCAAAATATTCTTGGTTTGTCCTGAGTTTTAGCAGCACTCAAACTGGACTCTCCTGGAGCTGTAGTATTTAAAGCAGGGTCTGTGCTATGAAATACAGCTGCTGTCTTTGTGGACTTAAAGTCTTTACTTCTGTCTCTCCTCTGGTCAGGACGTTCCCTTCGGTCTCCACCAAGAAACTCAAATCCACTCGCCTGTATTTTCAGCTCATATTCAAGCCAGTCTGCAAAGTGTAACAGAGTGGGGATGCGAACATTTAGGGGGTACACATACCGTTTGAAATCTGCTCGTAAGTCATGGGGCAACTTGGACAACTCTGCCACTATCTCCCAATTGGTTCAGCATGCCTACTAGAGCTCTAACTTTCAATGCAAACCTCTTGAATCCACTAGCATCTTGACTACGTATGGTAGGATCTTCCATTAAGTCAGCAATTCGCCTCAAAGCTAGCTGGTGGGGCTTCCCATATTGTTCTGCGAGAGAGGCCATGGTATCTGAATACGGTCTACTGGAATTGATGTAGGAGTCTGCAATGAGAAGAGCATCCTCAAACTTCAAGTGTTAGGAGTATTTGATATTTAAACCTTTCCGTAGAATCCTCGGGTAAAAGATTGTCCAATGAGACTTTCAGTCGTGCAAATTCCCGTGGGTCCCCTTTAGTGAAGTCAGGGATTGTGGGCTTTGGGCCTCTGTACATCCTTTCTTGTTGAGGGTAATAAGGGTGCTGTTCATGGTCCATACAGAATGGCTTACTGCTGATAGGTGCTGTTTGAGGGTACTTAGACAGTGGGTATTCACGTGTCCTCTGTTGTGGAGGTAATGCCATGGAGAAACTCTCAGGTTCACAGTACTCTGGGGTTAATGGGCATGAGAGAAGATGATCCTTTGTTTTTAAGTTCCTGAGTCGAGATGTTAACTCATCCACAAAATTAGACATGTGTCTCGGAAGTGGGGGTGGTATATCCACAGCCAAAGGGAGAAACCCATCATCTACTACAGGTGGAGGTGGTAGTGGCCAATCATCATTATCATGTAATGGGGCTGGACTTGCCTTTGACTGGGTTCTGTCATATGAAAAGGGCTCTGCTCTTTGTTGAAGGGGAGGTGCTCTATTTAAGCTCATTTTCTGTTGCATATCTTGCATGACAAACTGAAGCTGTTGATTTTCTCGTCTAAGCTCCTGAACTGTTCTCAAAATCTCCGATACATCTTCCTGTGTGACTGGCTGAGATACAGGTGTGCTCTCATATCTTGGCCCCATATGTAATGAGTGGTTAATGAATCTCTGGTCTGCCCTTAAAGCATAATCGCTTTGTGGCTGATAAATGAGAGGGGTCATCTCGGCTACCCTTTCAGTGTAAGGCTCCTGTGGTTCTCGATGAGGCAATGTATGAGCAGCTGGAGATTGTTGGTTATTTTGAGGAAGAGAAACCTCATAATCCTCTAACCAGGCTGGAGGTTGTATTCGACGTTTAGGACGCACATCACTCCTTTGTCCTTCTCTGATCCTCTGTTCTGGAAACATCTTCTAAATCCACAGCAATTACTGACTCCGGCTCGAAGGACCAATGTACTGTAGCTGATAGTGTGGTTAAGTTGAATTAATCACTGTGGTACGTCTGATCAAAACGCAACGGAGATGCTTATTGTCTCACTTGGGTTTATTCCCATTAGTATAAGCAGACATATAGGTGTTGGGGTGAGGGTGTGTGTGTGGTTCTACAGACAAGTAGAAACAAAGAATACTTAACATTCAATCACAGTATATAAATACAATAAACATTTGGTAAACATTAGTTTAAACAATAGATAAATGAGCAGTAACAATAGGTAGAAAGACATTAGATAATATTTAGAAGTACTCTTCTTCACTTTATATAGCTTATTATAGCAGTTTCTCAACTTTGGTCCGACCGGGGATCGAACCCACAACCGCTTGCAATACTGACGTCACACAGTATATCACGTGCGTTAGCATGACTATAGGTGCGTTCGACTTCATGCAGCGCTGCGCAGATCGATCGAAATCTGTCTTAAAGCGGTGCATTCTGGTTAGAAATCTTGTCCGGATTGATGCTGCGCCGACGCCACGTGACTGTCACATGTGGCATCAAAGTACCGCGACAGCGCTCCGAGATCAGACGGCAAACTCAGACCATGCAGCTTCTGAAGAGCGACTGCAGGAGCTTTGATGACGACACCGATATTACACGATTGGCTGAGTTCACCACATGACAACAAACACGTGTATTTTGGGTTTATAATTGGACAAATTCCGATTCAAAAGTTTCAAAACAAACAATTCACTTTTCACACCCTCTCTATCCTGTACACATCTTGCTTATTAAAAGACTACAAATATTTTACTGCAGTATCATCTTTTGTTAAATAATCTGGTTATAAAGGTTAGCTTGTTTGCACAGGTTTATTTTTTACTTTTTTATACAGACTATTTACTGCATTCATCTCCATGAACGATTTAAATGATATATTTTAGTGTATATTTTAGTGAATAACCTAAATATGAACTCAAATAAGTCTTACAGACTTGAAATAAAATAATCATCATCATTGATCCTGCCACCCTAAAGCTCTCTTGACAAATTAAAGTAAAGAACTATTTTATTAAATAATTATAAAATGGCTTTATTATTATAATATAAATATATATTTTATTTCCTGTCTAGCAGTTTAAAGGCTACCTGCTCTTTCTGGGAAACTTCTACATAGCTCACTTATTTTACCTTTTGTTCTTTTCAACACAATCTTTTTGGATTAAAATACTTTTCTGAAAATTCATTCATCATCCAAAATAATGTCATTTATTAAGACCTAATCAAAACACCTTGTTTTGCTTTTTACATTGGAAATTTTTATATCTATAAATGTACATATATGTAAACCCTTTTTTAGCATATTCAAACAAGAAGTATTAGCCTAAAGATTGATGTTTAACTCCTAGAATTTATGCTTATTGCTTTGTATTTAATATACCTGTTCGTTTTTATGTTTATATTAACCTCTCATTTCCTCTTATTTCTCTCATGCATTTGTTATATATTTTATTCATAATTCTCCCTTATTGTTTAAAAAGGAACTACAGTTTGTAGAGACTGTATTCTGTTTTATTTGTAAATGTTTTGTTGCTATAAATAAAAATAACAAAAAATATGATGACGCCATGTGATCGGTCATCATGCAACTTTGAGTCCCGAAGTGTCCAGCTGTCCGTCTTGACGGCTCCGTTTTCAACTCCGCCCCGCCTGCGCTCGGCTAGTCTCGTTGATCACCGGCTGCAGCTGAGCTTCATGTCGAACGCACCTTATGCTTTTCTTAGCCTACACGGCAACCTCGTTAAATCGTCTAATAACCTTAAACTAAACTCAATGAAAGGCAAATATGTTTCCGCTTGATGTAAACAATAAGAATAAACTATATACAGATGTTAATCATGCATTTAGGTAGTATAAAATTGGCTCTTAGGGTGACTTTACAGCACAAAGTAATTAAATAATTAAACTAAACATCTCACGGTGATAACCCTTAAACAACATGATAAATATGATTAAGGAACGAAGAAACTTACATTTAGATGCACGCACACAATTAAATAACACCGCTAGAAAAGGAGGACGTTTCTCATGTGCTCCATGCTCTGCAGACTATTACCGACTGACACACGTATGGTAAACTTTCTGGAACATTCTAAACATACTCAGTCTTTCCACAAGGGGGCAGCAACAGTCCACAGTCCTTAAGAAGGGTGAATAAAGAGCCCTTTGCAACAACATGTGTAATAAATGTAAGAAAATTCAATTTAGACATGGCATAAATGAAATCTACACATATAATGTGTAAATGTTTAAAAGAACACAGCAGTTTAGCTAAAAAACAAGGCAAACAGATCAACACAATGAACAGATCATTTCAGTCAGTCAGTAAGACAGGATGTGAAATAATCTGCAGTATTTTCATAATATAATGATCATCAAACATGCTTTGTTGTTTGTTTTTTCTTTATCATGTTGTTGTAAAGTTTCCATGATTCCTGTAAAAATGTTTGTATGTTTTATAATTTGCTGATCTGTAAAGCAGAATTTTCCATATTTCCAACAGTGAACGTGACTCTTGATGCTGATTCTGCTCATCCTGATCTCATTGTGTCTGAAGATGGAAAACAAGTGAAATATAGAAACAGAGAGGATAAGGGAAATAACAGGCTTAATGAATATCTTGGTGTTGTAGGAAAGGAAGGATTTTCTTCAGGGTGTTTTTACTTTGAGGTGCAGGTGAAGGGAAAAACTGTGTGGGATTTAGGAGTGACCAGAGAATCTGCTGACAGGAAGTACTTGACCAGTCTGAGTCCTAAGAATGGCTACTGGACTCTGAGTCAGAGACATGGAAATTATAGAGCTTCAAGTGTCACTCTTTCTCCGAGTGTGGAACCTCAGAGAGTTGGTGTGTTTGTGGATTATAAGAAAGGTCTGGTCTCTTTTTATGGTGTTGAGTCCATGTTTCATATCTACTCTTACACTGATCAGTCTTTTAATAGAAAACTCTATCCTTTTGTTTGTTTGGGGTATTATCTGAGTTTCGACTTTTCACCACTGATTATCTGTGATGGTACTAATGAGGAGAGTGAATAAATTTACATGATCAAGTGAAGTAAAAGACAACATGGTTCAAAATGATATAATAATGTCAAACATTTGTACACACAATTGTGATTTTGTTTTGTCATTATAAATCTTTCTTATGTAAAGGCTGAATAATTGTGCTTATAGAAATGAATTGTGTAAATATGTACATGTGAAAATAGATACGTAAATAAACAAAGAACCTAAAGCTGAAATAAAACATTTTACTCACTTCATCATTCTCACTTCACCATTTGTGCAGTTTTGTATTTTTCATAACTTCACTAAAATGTAAATAACATCAAGAATGGATAAAATCTACTGAAAATTCCCTTTTCATAAGGTCTGATAACATTTATTCCATATTTCAAAAACAATATTGTAGATCTCTTTGATTTTACATTCTTTAAAAAAAATTGAAGATCTGAGAAAGAAACTCTCTCTATCTTTCCACAACTAACTAAAACAACACTGTGAATAAAATCAAACAAACGCATGTGTATATGATTATTAAAATATAATGAAAGAGAACAACTATTATATAATAATAATAATAACACACAACATTCATTCAGATGGTTTGTAATAATGTTTTAGTTTTGTCCACTGCCTGACTCTGTGTTTCTGACAGGCTAGTACATGCTTTGCTGATGTTAATATCAGATTTGCTCCCAGAATAGACCTTAATGTGTCTGTATTTGTTAGAGATGTCAAATCTCTTTCTCTCACATCTGAGATTTATGCATCTCTATTAATAATTAGATTGAGATGTTTTCTACACAATGTTAGTTTTGGTGAATTAAAGTAGTATGATAGTGATTTATAACTCCAGCAGTCTTCTGAAGTCATATGATAATGTGATGAACAGACTGAATATAATCTGGAAAAGCTTGAATCTCTGAATGTGTAATGATAGCACAGTAACATTCTTCATTCAGCATATCTAAGGATGATTAAGGATCAAACATTTTTTATTTATTTTTTTATTTATCTTGCTCACTTGTTTTAGCACGTCACATTACTCTTGTTTTCTGGCACAATGACCTTACAATGAATCATTTTACAACCCATAAGAAAGCTAAAGAACAAGCTTGAAATCCAAATATCAGACAGATTGTGATCAGTGTTCAGCTTTGTATGTACAGTATATGACACCTAAAATCTACTGACATGCTCATTTCTTCCCTCTTTTATTCAAAAACAAAACAAACATCAAAAATCAGTAGTACAGTTCACCTATATCCACTTGCCTTTTACTCAATATATTTTATTATTTTCAGTATTTAAGTAACTCAGATCTGTGTTTGTGCATGCATCATGGTCTGTTGTGTGTTTCTTCTGGTTTAAACAGATGTAGTGTTAATAACAGAAAGTGATTTTAGATCTGTGTGAACAGTGTTTGGTTATATGTGAATGTAAGTATTCTGAGGTAAAACACTTTAATGTTAACGCCATTCTCTCGACCATAGTCCTGTCTTCCATTTGATTCTTCATGCCAAGACAAGTTATCAGTTTTTAGTATCCGTGTCTTTCAAATCAAATCAATTTCATCAAATTAATTTGGTTGGTGTTGCTGTTGTTGTTGAGTATTTATGAAATTATAAATGCAGGTAATGATTTACCCCTGAAGAGCTGAATAGAGTGTGTTCACAAGGAAAGAGTGAGGAAGCTGTAATGACTGTGTAACCCCGCCGGTCCTTCACCACCCAACCCTCTCCGAGCTGGTTTCGAACAGGCAACCTTCCGCATGGGAGTCGGTTGCACTCAGTTTCAGTGTGAAACAAACCGTCACTGTTCATCATGTAAATTTAAGAGAATGTGTTGTGATTCTCTTTAATTGATTCTGAGCACATAGCATGAGGTAGATAGATGGAGTTAGTTTATTAGTTTATTTATCAAAGTAATAAAGAATTTTCCACTAAATAACAGATGATTGTCTGATATAAAAGTTTTACAAGTTGAGTTTAAATGCAAGCTTGACACTTTTTCGCTGTACAAAGACACTAACACAGTTGGTAAGGATGCAAATTAAATATGGTTGATGAGGACACTTCTTGTGCCCTAAGCCAAAAGGTTGTTTGTCTCTCACACAATGCAAAATGTTATTGTCTCTAATACTGTTTTTTTTTTAATACACATATGTTTTGATGTTTTCTTTTATTCAGCATTTTCTACAGCACACAATCTGCTAAGAAAAAAAAACATGGTAAGTCTGTTCATTGATTTGAACATATAAAGTCTGTTTTCATCCACAAAATGTTTAATTATCAGACACTGTATTGACATATTTGTCTAAATCTTGTCGTGATTTGCAGTTAACATTTCTCAATCCAAAGTTATATTAGTATTTAATGCTTTGGTCGTCTAAACTTTATTCAATTAATTTTTATTTGTCTTTATTCTGAATTTTCTTCAGAATATGATAATCTATGGCATGAGAAGAGGAAAATAAAATATGATATTTATTGATGTTTATTACACTATTGACACTTTTATTGTCTACTTGTCTTTAAATCACTAAATGGCCTAGGAGCTCAATACATTACAGATATGCTCACTGAATACAAACCTAATAGATCACTCAGATCTTTAGGATCATATAAACTAGAAACTCCAATTTTGAATAATTGTTATTGCTTGTTTTTATTTCTTATTTTTGTTTCTTTTATTGTTGTTTATGTAAAGCACTTTGGATTACCATTGTGTATGAAATGTGCTATATAAATGAACGGAAATAGTCTTTGAAATGTATTTCTGGTTTTCCTTGTAATGGGTAGCAGCTGGAAGGGCATCCGCTGTGTAAAACGTATGCTGGATAAGTTAGCAGTTTTTTTCAGATTATGATTTTAAACATCTTTCTTTAAGTCTTTGACTTGTGTCAGGTTTATTGGCTATTGAAGGGAGGGACTGTCATCTGTTCAGGTGTTGAATTACATGAGAGAAACAGAAACTGAATCAAGAAGGATTATCTGACGATCGTGTGCTCAATCAAGACACTCTTGAGAAAACAATCAATGCTGAGTTAAGGGTAGGTCATGGATAAACTGACAAATACATTTATTTAAAGTTTTTCTTTTAAGGTCACCTAAAAACCAATAACGTGTTCAACATATTTAGTAGATATAAACTAAATGTAGATACAAACTGTGTACGTATCGTGCTTTGTCTTTATCCAGTCAAACCTGTTTTGGCAGTCAGATTCTTACTGTATGTTATTGTTATAATGTGTATCTAAGCCAATTTTTCTAAAGCAAAAACATTCTGATGTACAGTCTGTAACATGTTTTATTATTTGTCTCCAGGTTCTTCAGAGATGAAGTTATTTCTTTTTACTCTGCTGCTTATTAGTGGAATTACAGACTCAAGATCAGGTAATGATTATTAATATTCATCATAATTAAAAGAGTTTAATTAATAAATTCTCAATGCCGAACTCTCTGCAGTGAATCATTTTGAATGCTGTGAATCTTCTCAAGCAATGTTAATGTCAACAGCTCATGTTCCTTCTCTTGTAACAGATCAGTTTGCAGTAGTGGGGTCTGCAGATTCTGTATTTGCATTTGCTGGTGAAGATGTGCTTCTACCCTGTTCAGTCAAACCCAACATCAGTGTTGTGGACATGAAAGTGGAGTGGTTTAGACTTGATCAGGAATACTCAGTAGTGCATCTCTACGAAGACCATGTAGACAGAAACACAGAGCAGATTCAGTCCTACAAAGGGAGAACTGAACTCAATCATCAACAACTACAGACAGGAAACGCATCACTCAGACTATCAGCAGTGAAAGTGTCTGATGAAGGACGCTATAAGTGTTTTATTCAGTCTAAATCTGGGTCTGATGATGCCACGATTGATTTTAAAGTTGAAGGTGAGTAAACCAATGCTATTAAAATGTTAAGTATGATGCATATACAGTAGCATAATGATGTTGTTTAATTCACTCCATGAATGTTTTCTGTTGTTCTGTAGCTGTAGGAAATCCTCCAGTGATCACAGTAGATGGATTTGATCGTTCAGGAGGGCTTCATCTACTGTGTGAATCTGAAGGTTGGCATCCTGAACCTGATCTTGAGTGGCTGGACAATAAAGGAGTCAGACTGAGTTCAGAAACTACAGAGACACAAAGAAACACAGATGGATTCAGTGTGAAACACACCGTCACTGTTCATCAGAGAGACGGCAAGATTCACTGCAGAGTCAAAATGAAGCATCACATGCTGGAGGCACTGATCAGCTCTACAAGTGAGTAACTCTGTCTTTATTTGTCTATTCCATTATTTAAAACAATAAAAGCCGTAGATTTGTGCATCAACATTATACTGTGTATGTAATCGTCATAATTATACTGAGCTCATTATTTAATTATAATTTCAGCGAAATACATTTTCTTAGCTTAATCAGTGTTTTATTTTGCAGGTAATATGTATCTTTACCGGCGGACATCAGTCATTGTGATTTCAGTCTCAGTTGTGCTCATTGTGATTGCTGGAATATTGATTGCTGTTGCTGTTTATAAATACAGAGGTAAACTTATAGTATTTTTTATGTAAATAAGGCAACCGGAGAGCTTTTAATTTAAATAATTTATTTCTTAAAGTCATGAACAATTTTCATTAAATCAACAATGACTGAATAAATGTCTATGCCATGAAGATTACTACTTAAACATGCTGTTTGAAGACATTACCAGAGTCGTAGTAAACCAAAAGGCTTAAAATCATAGGATGCTTTTGTTTTTTATATAAAAAATTCCAGAATGTTTCTGTGAATGTTGTGGTTAGAGGTATGGGTTAGGACATAAGGGAATAAAATTTTACTAAAATTTACTGTTTGTACAGTATAAAAATAATTTACTCTATGATGAGTTTGTGCAAATCTACACATACAAATGTGTGTATGTGTGTGTATGTAAGAGACAGATTTATATAACAATCCTCATCAAAACCTCTGATCTGTAAAGCATGATGCTTGGGATAAATCCATGTACAGCTGCTGCAGAGGAAAATGTCTTTGTACAAAGAACTATGAATATATACAAAAGCTGTTGAATTTACTCATTCATTTAATTAATTAGTCATGGAAAAAAACACAATAAACACACCCATCTGCCCCAAGATCTGTGAGATCATCTTACGTTACAAAATATTAATATCACAATATCAGGCTGTTTTTGTCCACAATGTCATGAGTTCATTAAGCACAACAGTTCAGTAAATACATTTGGTCAGTTTTACT